GCCGTGCCATTGGGATTTGCGTTTCAGGGTGTGGCATCGAAGCTCTGTTTTCGTGACAAGTCTCAGCTGAAATGGCGATTTTGGTGGATGGGAGTGTGCTCAGAACGGGTCGAAATCATTCTAAACGTGTGGTGTGGTGCAAATTTTGTTGAAGCTCATGTGAGATGATATTCTCACTTTTCGTGGCAGGCACAGTACCTTGTGCTGATTTTGAGGTGTGGAAGTGCGATTTTCGTGGCAGGCGCAGGAAATCGTGAGGTTGCGAGGTGTGACGGAGGTGACATTTCGTGGCAGGCGCAGTACTTTGTGCGCGTTAGACGTGTGGATGCGGAAAGATTCGTGGCAGGCGCAGGGAATCGTGAGGTTGTGAGTTGTGGTAGAGGTGACTGTCGTTGTCTCATTGGGATTGGCGTGTGAGCGGGTGTTGTTCGGAGGGGCTGGAATCGCGAAACTGCTTGGCAGGGCTGCGTGATGTGTGTGCTCCGATGGGTGTTTCCGCTTGACTTTTGGAGGAAGTCTCGTACGAAACGCTCGTTTTGGAGACTTTGACACGTGAGTTTTTGAGGAAGTCTCGTACGAAACGCTCGTTTTGGAGAGTTGACACGTGACTTTTGGAGGAAGTCTCGTACGAAACGCTCGTTTTGGAGAGTTGACACGTGACTTTTGGAGGAGGTCTCGTACGAAACGCTCCGTTTTGGAGACTTGGCGCGTGACTTTAGGAGGAAGTCTCGTACGAAACGCTCCTCTTGCAGCCTCGAAGCGTGACTTTTGGAGGAAGTCTCGTACGAAACGCTCGCGTGACTGCTTCTAGTGTGTGGGCAGACCGTGTCGCGACACGAGTGTCCCACAAGAGTGTCCCACAAGAGTGTTCCACAAGAGTGTCCCGCAACCGTGTCCCACAAGAGTGTCTCACAAGAGTGTCCCTTAAGAGTGTCCCACAAGAGTGTCATATAAGAGTGCCCCACAAGAGTGTCCTACAAGAGAGTCCCACAAGAGTTTCCTACAAGAGTGTCACACAAGAGTGTCCCACAAGAGTGTCCCACAAGAGTGTCCTACAAGCGTGTCCTACAAGAGTGTCCCACAAGAGTGTCCTGTAAGAGTGACCCACAAGAGTGTCCTACAAGAGTGTGTCACAAGACTGTCCCACAAGAATGTCCGACAAGAGTGTCCCATAAGAGTGACCCACAAGAGTGCTTTTGAGAGTGTCCCACAAAGAGTGTCCTACAAGAGTGCCGTGTAAGAGTGACCCACAAGAGTGTCCTACAAGAGTGTCTCGCAAGAGAGTGTCCCATAAGAGTGACACACAAGAGTGCCCCACAAGAGTGTCCCACAAGAGTGCCCCGTAAGAGTGGCCCGTAAGAGTGGCCTACAAGAGTGTCCCACAAGAGTGTCCCACAAGCAAGAGTGTCCCGCAAGAGTGTCCTACAAGAGTGTCCCAAAACAGTCCCCCCCAAGAGTTTCCTACAAGAGTGTCCCACAAGAGTGTCCCAGAAGAGTGTCCCGCAAGAGTGTCCTACAAGAGTGTCCCAAAACAGTGCCCCGCAAGAGTTTCCTACAAGAGTGACCCACAAGAGTGTCCTACAAGAGTGTCCCACAAGAGTTTTCCACAACAGTGCCCTATATGAGTGTCCCACAAGAGTGTCCTACAAGAGTGTCCCACAAGAGTTTCCTACAAGAGTGACCCACAAGAGTGTCCTATAAGAGTGCCCCACAAGAGTGTCTTACAAGAGTCTCCCACAAGAGTTTCCTACGAGAGTGTCCTATAACAGTGTCCCACAAGAGTGTCCCACAAGAGTGTCTCACAAGAGTGTCCCACAAGAGTGTCCTACAAGAGTGTCTCACAAGAGTGTCCTACAAGAGTCTCCCACAAGAGTTTCCCACAAGAGTGTCCGACAAGAGTGTCCCACAAGAGTGCCCTACAAGAGTGTCCCACAAGAGTGTCCTACAAGAGTGTCCCACAAGAGTTTCCTACAAGAGTGTGTCCCACAAGAGTGTCCCACAAGAGTGTCCCACAAGAGTGTCCTGCAAGAGTGTCCCACAAGAGTGTCCTGCAAGAGTGTCCCACAAGAGTGTCCCAAATGAGTTAGCCACAGGAGTGTCCCACAAGAGTGTCCCACAAGAGTGTCCCACAAGAGTGTCCCACAAGAGTGTCCCGCAACAGTGTCCCGCAAGAGTGTCCTACAAGAGTGTCCCACAAGAGCTTCCTACAAGAGTGTCCCACAAGAGTGTCCTACAGGAGTATCCCACAAGAGTGTCCTACAAGAGTGTCCCACAAGAGTGTCCTACAACAGTGTCCTACAAGAGTGTCCCACAAGAGTGTCCCGCAAGAGTGTCCCAAATGAGTGTCCCACAGGAGTGTCCCACAAGAGTGTCCCGCAGCAGTGTCCCGCAAGAGTGTCTCACAAGAGTGTCCCTTAAGAGTGTCCCACAAGAGTGTCCCACAAGAGTGTCCCGCAAGAGTGTCCCAAATGAGTGTCCCACAGGAGTGTCCCACAAGAGTGTTGCGCAACAGTGTCCCGCAAGAGTGTCTCACAAGAGTGTCCCTTAAGAGTGTCCTGCAAGAGTGTCCTGCAACAGTGTCCCACAAGAGTGTCCTACAAGAGTGTCTCACAAGAGTTTCCTACAAGAGTGTCCCACAAGAGTGTCCTACAAGAGTATCCCGGGACTGGAGCTCGAGTCAGAGCCAGTGGCATTGGCGTTAGTTGAGCCAAGTCTCAACCTCTTTTGCCTGAGCGAGCATAATTCATTGCATGACATCCATTGTCAATATGTATGCGGTTTTCCTCCCAAGTCCAACTTTCAATTTCTTTTGGCGGCGGGGAGTGAATAATTAAAATGCACGTACAGGGCCACGTTGGCAGTGGATTGCTAGCATCCACATCTGCCATGCTGCTCCGAGCCGACATCACTGTCGTGCCCTGCACAAGCCCTCGTGCACTTTCCGCGTCCAGCTTCGGCAGCAAAGCTTCCTTAGCTGAGGGGGGTGTACTTTCACTCCATGTAATATGTACACTTTGTACTCTGCACATATGTATAGGATGTCATGATTCGACTACGCAGCTCGCGGCCCAAAAGATACCGTAGCTTAATGGCTGTTTCTATATATTGTAGTAACCGTATGCCGTCAGGCGGCATGGTCAGTCTAGGTGGGTATGGCCTAGCGTTTGGACCCCACTATGGGGTGATCAGAAGATATCGTGCCCTCGCCCAATCCACTCAAGGGTTCTCGCTTTTTCTGTCTGGCCTACCGGCGCTTGCAGGGAGTGCGAGCAACGCTTCACCCCCGGCGTTGAAAGGTATAAAGACGCTCATCAGCAAAGGACGATGGATGGAGCTGGGTGATTGCATTGAGAAGGCGATGGAAGAAGCACAAGGAGACCCGTTCAGGATGAGTCAAGTCATCCGGCGTTTAAGAATGGCAGGCTCAGAGCATACGGTAGAACTCAGGGCATTTTTCGCATCTCGGAATGAAGGCATCGATGCTGATGAGGAGCTCGAGACCAAGGCCAAAGTGGCCATGATTTTGCCTCACCATCTCGAAACGGTTATTGCTGAGGTGAAGGTGTATTCCATGGATGTGAAGGCACTCATGACACAGATCGAGAATCATGGGATAGTCAAGGGGCTGACGGCAGAGAAGACCAGGAAGATCAGGAGGCACATTGGAGCGCTGCTATGTGAGAGGATTGATCGCAAGGCATATCCCAGGCCCCTGGTTTTGCATGCCAGAGACAAGGTATCCTATACTGGATTGCTGTCCGGAATTACCACCAATGAGTCGATGGAACTCATGCTGGCAGCAGAAGGGCTAGTGGTAGCAACGCCAGGGCCAGTGAGTCAGCTGACTCGACTCGCCAAGAAGAGCAAAAACAGTAGCTACAGAAAGGCAGCGTACAAGCTACTCAACCTCCCTGGAGAAGGATCAGACATCGGGCTGTGTTGGAGCCCTCAGCCACGGTGGATGCAGCGGAGGCCTCTTCCCTGGCTGCGCGCGCTTCCTCCCTGTCCGCCTCGTCCAAGGTGGAAGCCGCCCTGAGCTCCTCTACCTCCGAGAACCTGGACTCGGCCAAGGTCAAGGAGCTCGTGGAGGATTTGAAGCAGGCAAGGAAGGAGGAGCCCACCTCCTCGGCCTCCTCGGCTTCCAGTCAGCCTTCGTTGGTCACGCTTGGGGGAAAGCTCCAACGAAAACAGCAGCATCTGGAGAAGCTGATCGCACAGCGGGACACGATCAGCAAGAACTGGACGGCCTACAAGACTTCTATGCAGGCCTTTCTGCAACGGAAGTTCGATTCAGCTCAGTCTGCCATGCGCACTACCGCCAAGGACATTGCAGAGGCTCGGATGCAAGTTCTTTTGTTGCAACAGCAATTGCAATCCCACCAGCTAGCCACCGGGGAAGCTGGTGGTCGTACGGAGTTGCCCGATGCTCACGAGATTTTAGAGTCTGCGGAGAAGGAGGGCTTGGAGAATCCCCCGAACCTCACCCTGCCACAGCTCTTGGAGGACGATGTGGACTCGGACTCCGACAAGGAGCGGCATGGAATGGATCTGGAGCGGATTCGGAAGGAACGTTCACGTTCCCCCAAGGTGGCTTCCACCCCGAGGAAATCGAGGAAAGCTGCTGCAGTTGTCTCGCCTTCTCAGGCTCCAGAAGTTATGAAGGGTTTTCACTAAGGCCGGGTGAACCTGGCGTGTGCTTTGACCCTGTTAGCGAATGGAGGTTTTTTAACCCAGCTGCGCATGGCGTTTGGGTTGATCAGGTGCTTTCGGAGTCTGACCTTTCTCCGGTTGCCCTGGATTCTTTTAATTTCACCTGCCAGCTCACTGTCACTGCTGGCTCACGTTTCACTGGTTTTGAAGAGCCCCAGAAGATGCTCACAAGAAATGGTTTGGAGGGAGGGTACAAGAACGATCATGAACCCCCTCCGAGGCCCCAGAAGATACCTCAGGTTGGCCCTGTGGCCGACTTTGATCCTCCACAAGCAGAGGACGTAGGAGCCATGGCGGCTGATATGGCGGAGGCTCCTCTTGCCATTGGGGACTTCGAGGACGGCATCTTGGTGAGCTTCATGAATGCGCTCTCGCTTCCCACCTTGGCAGAGCTTGAAGCCAAGGGTCTGTTTCCGGCTGCTGGTATTCGCCTCTACCAGTATGCCACGGTGGACAGGTTTTCCTCTCTCCCGTTGAGGACCACTGAGATTGGAGTGTTCTCTGTGGACGAAATTAAGCGGGCAACGCTGGAGCTTTGGCGGGACTATGGCACTGGGCGGCAGATTGACGTCTACCTCGTGGTCCCACAACCTGATGAGCATGTTCTCAGCGGCTTGACCTTTGTCATTGACATTTTCCATTTTGACTATCCTCTGGCGGCTCGCTCCTTGGTCCTGCTTGAGCTCACCAGTTGGACTTTGGATGATTCGGGTCCTGGCGCCACGACTTCGTTGGTCTTGAGGGCTGGGATGCTTCCGACGCGAGCCAGACCTGTGGATTGGAACCGTGAGGTTGGCCTTCCTGATGGTTCGGTTGTCATCGCTCGGGGTCGGCCTCTGCCTACGTGGTCCCCTGCGGAGATCTCTATGGGTGACTTGATCACCTTTTTGGCTGATGCTCCTCGCTCTCAGCTTGACTCTCCTTTGGTTTACGAAATCCAACCGGACTTCGAGGAGGTCATCAGGCGAGCCCTGCGCGCTACACCACCGATGCAGGGGGTGACTGTGGTCCTGCATGGGTTCTGGGAGGGCAGAGCTATCCGCCGCAGAGCCTTTTCTACCTGGCGGCCAGTATTGGAAGATGTCCGACAGCTTGCCCAGTCCATTGCAGAGAGTTTCACGGACCTTGCCCCACGGCCATTTCATCTGGTTGCTGCCCGAGTTCCTGAGCAATTTTTTCGAGAGGACGGCAGCCTTGAAGTTGTGGTCTTTGTCATTTTTGACCGCCCTTCTTCAGCTCGGCCAGTTTTGCTACGACAACTTGAAGGAGGCTATTTGGTCCGCGACATCCTCTTGCTGGTTGAGCATCAGACTTCAATTTCCTCCATGCTGCAGCAAGCTGAGTGGGCGGCTTCTGACATTGAGGCCAGCTGGTTCCATGCGGCACAACCTCAACCTTGGGTTGACATTATGGAGGTCCTGGTTCCAGCCCATGGTGATGTTTTTGATGTGGTGTTGGGACTTCTTTCAGATGATGCCGCAGACGAGGCTCCATCTCTCCTTCAGTTCGACGCCCGTCTCTTCTCCTCCTTCTCCTTGGTTGAGGACTTCAAGGCTGCTGCGCCCATTGATTCGGCCCCCGCTCTGCAACCGTTGTCTTTGGAGGAGCTTCTGCCTCAATTGGGTAAGCGTGAGGGCATTTCCTTTGAAGATGTGTCCTGCTTTTGCTCAGAGCTTTACACTATGCCAGCAGTGCCCTGCTTTGTCTTGCCAGACCACCTTCAATGGCACTCAGCTTCAAGGTCATGGAATTCCGCACCATGGTGGGCCTTCGATATGGCCAAATGGGCGCTGCTGTGGTGGCCTATGTGCGTACTGGCTCTGGCTGGTTCTTTGGTGGCTTCATTGCGTTTCATCCTCCACCTCAGCATGACTTTGCCAGCTCGTACTTGGCTGAGCTTTTTGCTTTAGTTGGGGCCTACAAATGGGCGCAAGACCTGTTGCGCCACCAGTGGAAGCTCCATGGTGCCCTTCCTTTGGTTTCGGTTGGCTTTGACTCCACAAGCGCGGGCTATGGGGCCACTGGTCATTTTGAGATTCGGCACGCTACCTTGCTCCGGGATGCTCTACGTGGACTTCATCACTGGATTCTCTCCGAGTTTGGGATCTATGTGGAAGGCTTCCATGTGGCTGCACACACTGGAGAACCTGGCAACGAGAGCGCCAACTCGCTGGCTTTTGCTGCTGCTGGTGGCGAGGTTGACACCGGCTTTGCTCTTATTTTGGACAAATTCTGGCGGCAGCGACTGAAGGCGGGCCTTTGGCCTGGTGCTGGTTTTGCTTTCGTGGTGAATTCGCTGACTGTTGGTTGGACCACTTCTTGCACTTGGACCGGGTTGCGACTACGACACCTTCTTTAGGTTCCTTACCTATTGCCGGAGGTTTTGGTTCATCCTTGGCCCCAAGGGAGCAGCGTGCCTCTCTGACTTTCAAGGTTTCGACCATCAACATCCTCACCGGGGATCCTGCAGGGGAGGAGCGATCCGTGGGCATGCTTTGCAACCCGCGTTTGGAGGGGCTCCTCCGACAAGCTGATGAGGCTGGTGCGCTTCTGCTGGGCCTTCAAGAGACCCGTCTCCGATGGAGTGGTACAAGGACTCTGGGACATCACTTCATCATCCAGACGGCCTCCACACAGGGACATTTCGGAGTGGCACTTGGCATCTCGCTCAAAACCTGCTACGGTCTTGCCAGTGGCGTCGAGCTTTTCTTCAAACCTGCGGATTTCAGTGTGATTGCGGAAGAGCCACGGCTTCTCTTGGTGAAGGTTGACGCCTCCCACCTTCGCTGCCTAATTTTGGTTGCTCACACTCCTCACTCTGGCCATTCAGATGCTGAACTTGCTGATTGGTGGCGGCATCTTCGCACTGTGATCCCTGCTAAATATAAGTCTTGGGATCTTTTGTGCTTGGGCGACTGGAACGCCCGGCTCGGCTCAGTGATGTCTCAGCATGTGGGCTCGGCAGGGGCCGACGTTGAATCGGTCAACGGCGGCTGGCTTCATCAGTTTATGGCTGATCGATCTCTTTGGGCGCCATCTACCTTTGAGGAAGTGCATTCTGGCCTACATGGTACTTGGCAACATCCTCGCACTCTGGCTTGGAGCCGGTTGGACTTTGTTGTGCTTCCTTCGGCTTGGCACTGTACTGCCTCCTATGTTGACGACACCTATGATGCGGCTCTTGGGCATTTGGACCACAGTGCTGTTTCGGCGGAGGTCAACTTTGCAGGGGGATGTATTCCCTCTTCTGGAAAGGTTGTACATCGGCCAGGCCCTCGGCTCCACCTGGCACCCATGTCGTTGGCCACCTCATTGCCTTTGTGCCTTGCTAGTTGCTCACCACCACCTTCGCAGGTTGACGTGCATTCGCATGCTGCCTGGCTGAGCTCTCAGCTAGTTGCTTTGGGCAGTCGATGCGGATCCGTCCTGGCGGCTGCCCCTCGTCGGGCTGGACTTACGGCTGGCACATGGCAGTTGCTGCTCCAAAAGCGGTACCACCGCAACACCATGATGCGAGCGCAACGGCAACTTCGCCTTTGGCTGCTACGTCAGATCTGGCGTGGCTGGAGCTCAATTGTCTGCTCCCGAGCTACTTGGCTCCTCGAGCAGCAGCCGTGCCTCAAAAGCTTTGACTTTGATTTCGCCTTCCACTGGATGCACTTTCGCAGAACCGCCCGACTTGTCTGTTCCGCTCTACTTAGATGAGCTGTGGGTTTGCTAGTGGGTTGACATGTTTAACATATTTAGTAATTTTTTTAACAAAGAGTTACAACTAGTTAGCTAACAATTACAAAGCCAGTTAACTTTGAAAAAAAGGTTCTGGTTTTCTCTTTGTTTGTAAAACCATTTTCAAAAATTTGTATGGGCAACAAACATATGGACACACACACACACCATGAAAGCCAAAATTGGCTAGTCAAAATCAACAAAAAGCCAAATGAGGCTACTGGCTCCAAGGTGGGCTATCCAAAACTGAAAAAGCCAAAGAAGGCTAATGATTCCAATGGCTGGCAGCAAAACTTTTTCCACCACCACACAAATTGCACTCCAAGGGTTCAGTGACATTGGTGTCACCTCCAACACAATGGAATTAAGGTAGTGATGTTGTCGCCAGCATCTGCAAAGATCACAGTGTTCAAAATGCTGTCATGCTGCGCAGCATGCAGGTTGCTGCCAACTTTGGTCCAAACAGCATAAGAATCACTTTGGTCCTGCAGCACCAACATGTCCACCACTGCAAAATAGTCAGTGGGGTCCTTTGTGCACAAGAAGTAGTGCACCCTTCCACAACTCCACTTTGAAGCGCTGCTTGTGGGTTTGAGCAACAATACATCTGCTCTGCTGCAAACACCATATGTAAATCTGTTCTTGTACCTTGCACTGTGAGAATATCGAAGGCTGCCCAAGGGCTGCTTTGGGCACAAACTGGCAACACAAACCTGCATTTTTTGTGGCAACTTTTTGGGTTCCAACATGGTAGCTCCCAGCTCAAAAAGGTTGTGCTGCACCAGAGTGGACAACTCATGTGCAGCCACCTCCTGAGATGCTGCCTTCTCCAGCACTGAAGTGTTCTCCATGGGCCTCAAGTACTTGCAAAGCAGTTTGTGCTTTCTTTCCTGTGCAAAGCAACACAAAGCTTGCCCATGTTCAGCATATGCCTGGGCAAAGTGTAGCAGCCAATGATGCTTAGGCTTCATTGGCCAACCCAATGCCTTCCAAAGGTGAAGGGCTTGCTCTGCTGCAGATTGAATCATGGTGCTGCTAACAATGCCTGTCCATGTAGACTGCAAAATTTCCAGCAAATGCACCAAAGCCATATACACTGCAGCAAGGTCTTTACACTTACTAGAACACACCTTTGCCAAATAGTGTGACAGTATATGGCAAACACTCAGCATTTCTGATGCTGTCGACACAAACTGTTCACTTTTTCTGTGTCTATCAATGGCTTTCTTGTCAAAAAGCCTTTGAAGGTTGATTGTTGCCCACTGAGATGGCAAGTGCCAGGAGCCAATATATTGTGCAAAAGTTTCCCACAACTCTGCTTCACCCAAAACATAAGCAGTGGCCAAGCATAGCAAGCCATTGCTCAGAAGGCCATGGAGCCAATCATGCACATAATGCTTTTGAGGGTCCAATGCTGGCCTCAACTCTTTGCATCCCAAAATGCTGTGTTCACTCCAGCAAAAGCCAGTGGCTTGTTCCCACTGCCTGAAGGTTGTGGCATTGCATTCCCTTTTCCTTTTCTCAAGTCTGTCCCAAGAATCAAAAATCTCATCTTTGGTTGTGAAGGACAGGTCAGACACTTTGGTGTATGCTGAGATTGGGTCCACACTGTCTTCATCCCTCCCAGCAAAACATTCCTGCATTTAATGCAATACCGGCTGCCACCATCACCTTTAATGTTCCAAAAGTATTTGTGGGCTCCTCCATCTTGAATAATGTAGGCCAAGTGGAACTGCATCTTCCTCTTTCCTGTGAGAGGAGCAGGGTTGGAGAGCTGGACTCCAAAATGCAAAGGCTCACAAGCCCCACTGAAGAAGATGCTGAGCAATATTTCCTTCATGAGCTGTGAAAGTTGGCCATCCAGTTTTTGCACCACACTGCTTTTCACAATTGCCAATGTGATCCAAGAATTGTCATCCTGAAGATGTACACCAAATGGTTGGCAAGCACAGTACACAGCCCAAAGTTTCCTTGGCTTGTGAGCCAAGGGATTGCCCACCACAATCTCATCTGTGTACAGAATGAGGCCAGCTGATGCTGTCACACTTGAAAGAAGCTTGTACAAACTTCCACCAGATTGAAAGGCAAAGTCAAGGAAAGACCAAAAATTCAAGATCTTGACCTCACAGGTTGAACCATCTGAATTGAAGAGCTTCTTTGAAAGGAAGATTGGGCCATAGGCACATGCCTTGCTCAAGAACTTGGCTGTGCTCTCTGCCATGTGCTTTCTGCTATGCAGCTGTGGGACACCTTCCTTTTCCACATGGTCCAAAATCTTGGACAAAGCTGACTTAGTCACAAATGGCACTGTTTGCCTCAATTCCCCAATCTTTTGGAGTTTGCTTTCTCTTTCCATTGCATGCCCATGTCTGCACTGCAGTGTTGCTTTTTAGAACATACATGCCCAAAGAGATAGTCCAATGGCATTTGGCACTTCACCTACAATCTGGTGTGGCTGGAAAGGCAGGTTTAGGCAAACCAAGGTACATGTATGAAGAAAAGATGTTTCACATTTGCATTCAACTCTGCACGCGTAGAAGCTGGTGTGACTGGACACATATTTAAACAAATCAAGGTGGCCAGTGGCCTCAAAGCTTAAGCCACACTTGTTGCAAACCAGACTTGTGTAGAAGCCAAGTAGGCTATTGGAAAACAACTACAAAACAAGTCTACAGCCAATAATGGCTATACAAGGAAGTTCTACAACGCAAGTCTGAAGCCAATAATGGCTATACAAGCAAAGCTTGCAACCATAGCACTTTTTGAAACCCCTGCAACAGGTGCTTCCACCTGTCAGCCAGCCCAACAGCATTTTAGCTGTTTTTGCACAACCCACATCCAGGTAGGATGCCACCCCCACAAGCTCTCGCTTTTTGTTGTTTGCTTTTGCCCACAACTTCCATTCCTCCCTTGTGCACCGCCAGCCTGAATACAAGGGGTTCCTGCATTGGGTGCAGCCATTGGCTTCAGCACCTCTGCACTTCTTGCATCCCAGCTTTAAGACCTTCTGGCTTTGTGTGACTTTTGCTTTTGCAGCACTGTTGGCTGTAGTTGGTCTCTTCATAATGCCTTGTTTGGCTGGCTTGGTGTCCTTTTTGC